CTTTCTAATATGTACCTTCAAATAAGTATGGATATTTAGTAATTATTTTGTTTCATCTGTTGTCGTAGTAAAAGAATAATTATAATGTACATATGTAAAACTGTAAGATTTATGGTTCTTTGAGACCATAATTTTAACCTAATTGACATTAATATTATAAAATTAAATTGTGAAAACAGAAAATAATGTAGTATCTGTGAATAAAACAAATTTATTTTTATTTAATAAAAGTAATTGTTTATGTATAATAATCTTACTATTATAAATATTAAGCATTATTATAGTGGCATTTTTAATTTTATTAGTAAGTATTATTAAACTCTTTACATATTTTTGTCGTTATAATGAATAACTGGTAGAACTCTTAACTTATACATCCACTCATTCAAACACGCGTGACGGACCATTCCGTAACTATGTACTCAGTACTCACAACTATGTCACATGATCCTTGACAACTTATAAGATTAATGCCATCATTCAACAGCTTACAAAATTTATTTATTAACTCCTCTCCAAGTCAAACAAAATTCTAAGGAGAATAAGAGACCTTCCTTACAATCAATCACTTTTCATAAATCGATATAAAATTGTGTTGCATTGTAATGATGAACATAAGTATTAAATTATTTCTATTTATGGTGCATCAACCGGAAAAGCAAATTATAACATTCTTTTTAAATACCTTGACTATTTTAAGAAACCTTATTACAAAATTTAATTTTTATACTTTAAAACCTGGATATAACTTTGTATAGCATTAAAATGTAAACTGTTACATGTTTTTTACATTTGTGTATTTCGATTTTTAATATCGCTTGCCAATTTTCCATTCCATTTCTACTAATTTAAAAAGAAAAAGAATTTATTCTATTTTTTCTGAAAGTATATTCAAATCGATCAAAGATCGGTACATAACAAAAAAGATATACATCATATCGTTTTTATGTCTTAGCTGTACTTATTTACGTCCAAAATCACTTACACTGTAAAAGTTGCTAAATTTAGGACTCTCATATAACAAACGAACAGCTTACAAAACATTTAATTGCAGCTTTATTTTAGATACCATTATTACTTCGATATCTTACGATTTTTAAGCACTTTCCTCATTACATGTAGTCTTATCACATACAACTATGTATGACTAAATACATTCTGTAATTTATTACATCTATTCATACAAATAATTTTTTTGTGATAAAAGTTTACATGTGTATACCACGAATTGTTTGAAAATGCTGTCAAATTTTCATTTGTTTGCAATACCGGTTGCAAATAAATACAGCCTACTAATAAAGAACAAAATCAAGTGGCATTGATTCTCTTTTTTGCAATCCTTTTGCTGGAGCATAGTGGCCTATCTTGAGACCCGAGTCGCATAGTATCAAATGTAATGGCTTCAGGGTTCCAAGTGGAGCTACTTTTCTATTCACTCATATAATACAAATCGTTGACGTTTCATTAAAATGCACTA